AGTCAGTTAGATGGTTAAAAAAATGGTAGTAGCAGGAACAAGGAGACACACTATCACTTTGTCAAGTGGCGAATGCCACTCGCCATAGTGAGCAGACAGAAACTGTCCCTACTACTATCTTCCCTTTCTTTCCTCTAAACTTTTGATCCAGATTCATGTCTTATCTTTTGTACTCTATTGCTCTCATGTTTAATTCAATAAACATGAGCAACTAACTCAGTTGAGGGTTCAATCCCTACTATCTTTATGTGAAAGTTTTGATTCAGTTTTCTTGATGAGGTGTTGTTCCTAGATAAGTGATTTAATTAACCTTTTAATTAACTTGGCCACTTAATTAAATTGGTTATGAAGATCTGGAAGGGGGAGCATAACCTTAGAATTGCTTAATCTAGTCTATGACAATGGAAGAAATCTACCATGTGGTTCCAAACATCAACGGAAGTTAGGTGAATGGCATAAGCGATCAAAGAGGGCTTAAGAAATCAATGGCTTAGATTAATGATTACTCTGTCTGGAAGGTAGGTGATTTAGATAATCTAGGATTCTTTATTCTGTCTGGAAGGAATTATAAAGAATATAAGTGCCTGATCGAACAACTAATCATACACTACAGGAATATTTGAATCAAACTTGGATCATAAAGATAGGAAGGTGATTGACCCTTCTGCCTCTTCACTCTTTCAAGTAATTACTCTCACTCTCCCAAGTGACAATCTATTCAACTCATTTTCTTTTGTTTATGCACTTTAATCAAATTTTGAGCGGTTGACTGCTGTCTCTGTGGAACGACCCTACTTGCCACTCGTTATTAGTTTTAAGTAGGTTTATAAATATCTCTTTTGGGAAAGTGGTTCATCACCAAATGACTCACCAGGTAGCTCCAGGAATCTAGAATTGGATGTTTGTACAATGTGGAATAGTACATATTTAATGCTAGAACTGCTCAAGTGTATGAAAGAGCTTTTAGGAGATATGAAATTGGAAATCAGCACTTTAAAGATACTTTGAGGTTTGATCCTGAAGTGCCAAATTCTGGGCATGGGCTGTCTACTTCAATAGATTGGGTAGAAGCTAGGAGGATTGCTGGTATTCTTCAACATTTGTACGAGATAATCTTGAAGGTATCTCATACAAAATCTGTCTCCTCAGATTCTTTCTTCACTGATGTTCATTGTATTGATGTTTTGTTGAGGAGAATCATCAATGAAACTGATGATAATGGTCAAAATTTGATGGCTGAAAGGATGAAGGATAAGTTTGATAAATACTATGGTTCTATTTCGTCGCTGAATCTTGTTGTTTTAATGGCATGTGTTTTTATCCAAGAATTAAGTTGAAATACATTGAAGTTGTATTTCAATAGGTTTATGGGTTAGTGGATGGAAAAAATAAATATGAATTTGTTAAACCGCCATTTATGAGTTGTTTACGGATTATATTATAATCCATACCCCTAAACCTAGTTTTAGGACGCCTTCCAATTCTGATTCCAGTTCATCTCAAGCAACTTCATCGGGGAAAAAACCTTCCCCGATTGATATCAAGCCTTCAAAGCTGCTTAGAGATCAGTTTAGAATGGAGTTGGCAAAGAAACAAGTTGAAGAAGCTGGTGGGGTGTTAAACAAGAATGAAAAAACAGAATTGGATAAGTATTTGAACGAGGATGATGAACCAGATTGTCCAAATTTTGATCTGTTGAACTGGTGGAAGGTGAACAGCCCTAGGTTTCCTATCCTATCTCTGATGATTCGTGATCTTTTTGCCATTCCTGTCTCAACTATAGTTTCGGAATCATATTTTAGCACAAGTGGCAGGGTGTTGGATGCATTTAGGAGTTCTTTAACTCCGAAGACTGTTCAGTGCTTGATTTCACTCAAGATTGGATTCGGGGAAAGTTGAAGAAGAAGAAGGTGTTGAAGAGAATCAGGAAGACCTCTTTTACATGGAAGAAGGTTACAGTTTTTTTTTCAGTTGTTTGTTTTCAGTTTAATTCATTTCAGCTATTTATTTTTCAGTTTATTTATAGTTTAAACTTGAATGACTGTTTCAGTGTTTCTTTCTTCTTTTTTTTTTTCAGCTGCTGAAACGGGGAAGAAAACTGGGGTTCAGTAGGATTTTTCGTGATCAAACTACTTGGATTGAACTTGAATAATAGGTGGCTTCTACTTTCATTTGACTTTTTCATGGTTGTTTCTATTTTTCTCATTTATGTTATAACCTGAAACTTATTGCACGAGTTAGTTTATTTCTGAATTTGCTGACTTGAATGTAAAATTCCAAATTGCATGCCTGTTGCTAGCTGAACTGTCGAGTGTTGAAGGCTGAAATGAAGCTGAAGTATCAAGTATGCTGCCAAATGAAGTTGAGGAGTGAAGATTGAAGTTGCAGTTTTGAGTTATGTTATGAAAAATCAGCTTTTTCAGCATTGTTATTCTCAGTTTAAACTTTATTTTCTCAATTTCTGACTTTCTGTCATTCTGATTCTGAAACTTGTAAGTTCTAAATTTGTTGACATTGTTATTCCTTATCATGGACATGTTGTGTAAGACTGTAAGTCTTTAAGACTTGGTATGGACTCGTGGTCACTTAAATGTAAAATTCCAGATTGCCTACCTGTTGCTTGCTAAACTATCGAGTGTTGAAGGCTGAAATGAAGCTGAAGTATCAAGTATGCTGCCAAATGAAGCTGAGGAGTGAAGACTGAAGTTGCAGTTTTGAGTTCTATTCTGAAAATCAGCTTTTTCAGCATTGTTATTCTCAGTTTAAACATTCTTTTCTCAATTTCTAACTTTCTGTCATTCTGATTCTGAAACTTCTAAGTTCTAAATTTGTTGACATTATTATTACTTATCATGGACATGTTGTATAAGATTGTAAGTCTTTAAGACTTCATATGGACTTATGGTCATTGGGTGTGTGGATTGTGCCACTGGGCACTGGCACTGGCCAATGAGTTGAAGTGCTGAATGTTATTGTTGAATTGTTGTCTGTTGATCAGAATCTGAATTTGTGATTCAGACTTTCAGTTGAAGCGTGTTTTTTTTGGCAAAAGGTAAGTTGAAGTGTTGAACTTGAACACTTGAACTTTACATTTTTTCTGGGTTTTTTTTTGTCATGGTGATTTTTTTTTTAAAGTTTGAACTGTTAAAAACTTAAAATCAGGATATTTATTTCAGACATTTTGAATTTCGATTTAAGCGGCCCCAACCGAATATCCGATTGCTTATTCGATTTCAGTCAGTTGAATTGAAATGAAAAAATTCGATTAATTTGAACCGAACTTGGCCAAATCGACCGAATTAGGTACTCCGCACTGCAAGGATAAACAAGTGTCAAGAATGTGTCCCCTCGCCCGCCTAATCACCTGTAGGGTTTATGTCACACATTGCGAGTTGGTCGCTTCTACTCCAATAAACTGTCTATTATTCTATCAATCAGTAATCCATGGTGATTGAACACGAACTGATTTTTAGCGGGTGATTGGAGTTCAAACCAAAGTGGTCCAAATTTTTGAAGTTACACCATTTGGTTAAAACATATTGGGCAATATATATATATATATATGTATATATATATATGTATATGTATATATGTGTATATATTACCGTGAAATTTAAACCCTAATAATAAATATGAAAACATAAAAGAAAGGGAAAAAACTCTTCTCAAATCAGGGAAAAAAAAAAACTACCGCTCTTCTCAACAATATAGAAATCCAAAGTGTTGGAAATCTAAAGCTTGACTTGGAATCAAACAACGGCGATTTTCATGAGGCCTGAAATGCCATTTTATTTTGTCTCTCGTCCAAACAAACGGACAGCAATGCATAAGGTGTCGTGATGTGTCCGTCGTTCTAGTTTTTTTTTCTTGCTTTATATTTATCACGCCAGACAAGTAGACAACAACTGCCCTTTCTCCTATTATATTAATTGATTATTATTATTATTTTACAATGAAGGATATCATAAACTTAAAAATCGAAACTATCACTCAATGAGAGGTAAAATCGACAAAATTACTCCACCTCGTGAATAGAACTGATCTTTTTGGCAATTAGTAGACCGTCCTTATTACTTAAAAATACATCGATGCATGCATATTTCTAACTATACCGTTTGATAGAGTAACTATCACAGACAATATAATATGGCCGAGATCACCATCATGTCGATGATGAAAAGCTTCACGGTGAGGATGCAGAAATCCGACGCCTCGGGAAACAAAACCATTGTCTAACATTGACGATCAGAAAAGCTTACATTTTCTTAAATTCCAAAGAAGAATGACAAAGGTGAAAAAGGGATTGTTGTTCCAAATGGGTTGCCAAGATCTGTAATGCCCAGGTTCATTGATGAGAATAAAAAGAACTATTGTGATTGGGATCAAGGATGATGCTAATGCAGGAGGAGGTAATTAAAGATGTCTCCCACGCCAATATCGGATCTGATTTGTGATCACTAACTAATCACGAAAAATATTTATTTGGTTCAGAAACAATTGTCCAATTTAAATTTACACTTATGATACAAATTATACAAAACTTGAAAATAAAAGATGAACAAATATTTTCTTGGGGGGGGGGGGGTAGGTTATCAGGAGAAAAAAAACAACCCCACTTGCAATAAAGTTATGTTCCATTTAGCTACTGCTTCATTTGCTTTGCAAATTTGATATCTGAGATTAAAATAGATTAGTGATTCAACAACCATTTGGGAGTCTCCTAATAGTTCATACTATTGGTGGATACTTTTTTAATGGGATTAGTGGATGATATTCAAGTAATTTTATTACTTTATTTAACAGTTTCTTAAATTATGTGCAAATTGTAATATGACACTTATTTTAGAATAGAGTGAGTAATTATTTCAGTAGTAATAATAATAATAATAGTCTTGGCAGTTGACCGTCCTTATAGCTTCGGAATATGTCTATTTGTATGTAACTATATTTCTATACTGCTCATTGACTAATTAGCTAGCAAGGTCCCGGACAATTTACATATGGCCGGATCAACGACGTCACCGATGATGAAAAGGTTCACGGTCAGGAGGCAGAAACCGGTGATGGTTCGTCCGGTGAGACCGACGCCTCGGGAAACAAAACCTTTGTCTGACATTGACGATCAAGAAAGCTTCCATTTCCTTATATCCAACAGCATAAACTTCTACAGACGGAGAGACGACGTCGATGATCAATGTGTCAGGAAAGCATCATCATCAGAAGAAGACCCCGCGAAGGTGATCAAAGCAGCTCTGGCTGAGACACTGGTGCTATATCATCCATTTGCCGGACGGTTGATAGAAGGGCCTGAAAACAAGCTGGCGGTGGAATGCACCGGAGACGGCGTGGCCTTTGTCGAGGCAGATGCCGACGTGACGCTGGAAGAGCTCGGAGAAGAAGAGCTTCAGCCTCCGTTTCCTTACTTGGAAGATTTGTTGTGTAACATTCCGGACACCGGCGGAATCCTCCATCCGCCAATTCTTAGTATACAGGTATAATATACTCCTTGTCTCAAAATTATAGTTAAGTTTAAACTTTCACTTTTACTTCAATTTTTACTGAAAATAAAAATCTAAATTGGATAATAATTCCATAACAGGTGACGCGTCTCAGATGTGGTGGTTTTATTTTCACCTACCGCCTCAATCATGTAATGTGCGACGCCACGGGTATTGTACAGTTCATGATGGCCTTAGCGGAGATAGCTAGAGGAGGAGCCTCTACCGACTCGGTGGTGGCTCCGGTATGGTGAGGGAGCTCTTAAGTGCCAGAAATCCTCCGAGAATAACTTCCGTCCATCGCGAATATGACGTCATCCCGACGCCGACAAGATACAGTTTACGGTTGACGATTTGGTTTGCAAATCGTTTTTCTTCACCCCGGCTGATACGTCGGCCCTCCGGGCCTCTCTGCCGCCGTTCCTCCGAGCCAAGTGCTCCAGCTTCGATGTCCTCACCGCTTTCCTCTGGCGCTGTCGGACATCCGCCCTCCAGCTCGACCCGAACCGAGAAGTGAGAATCCTCTGCTTTGTGGATGCCAGGTCCAAGTTTGATCCACCGATTCACAAAGGGTATTACGGGAATGTTTTGGCTATCCCGACCGCGGTGACAACTGCCGGGAAACTAACCGGAAACCCGCTCGGGTACGCGGTGGAGTTGGTGATGAATGCAAAGTCGATGGTGACTGAGGACTACATCAAGTCGAATGCGGACCTGATCGTTTCAAGAGGCCGAAAAGGCGTAAGATGGTCGCCGGGATACATGGTGTCGGATTTGAGGAGGGCCGGATTCGACGAGGTGGATTTCGGGTGGGGAAAACCGGTTTATGCTGGACCGGCATTAGGTATAAAGGAGCTAAAACCTGCAAACCTTGGGTTTTATATTCCAAGGAAGAATAAAAAAGGGGAAAAAGTGGTCGTGGTACCAATTGGTTTGCCAAGATCTGCTATGCAAAGGTTCATCGATGAGATTAAAAATGTGGTGAATGCGATCAATGATGATGGTAATGGAAAAGGAGGTAATCATCCTTCCCCATTCAATGTCAGATCTGCTCTGTGACATTAATTAACCGACAAGAATTTACTCAGCTGTCTCAAAATAATTATTTACTTTAAATTTACATATAAGTGTCAATTTAATGGGAAAAAAGAGACAAACTTGCACTTGCAATAAAGTTTGTGTTTCATTGAGATACTGGCTTTCATTTTGATTTCTAATTTGATATAAGAGATTTATACAATAAGATAAGATTAGTGATATATGAGGTAACCAGTGGTGAAGCCAAGCCAGATCACAAAGGCACTAAGACAGTATAAATGCAAAATTTCACTACGAATCTCTCATTGGAAAATTATTTCTCCATAAGGACAAGTTTTTTTTTTTTAATTTTAATTGTATACCAAATACTTATAAATAACTCACTAATTAATTTCATCTCAAATATTTTGTATACATGGCATTCAATTATTTGTGTTAATACAATTAAAAGAAATTGTCACATTTTGTAAACCAATGATTAAAATTATCATGTCAAAAAATTCAAATGAGTTGCAAAATCAAGATGGAGTTGGTGAGTACTCCTTCCCTCTTAATAAAATAGTCCATTTTGTTATTGTAATTCAATAATAAAGGGGCCGTTTTCGATAACGAGTGGAATATTAAACTAGAACTTCATCAATCAATTAAGAAGACACTATTACAAGGACCGAGGACATCGTTAGTGGGATCGATTTCATTGGAAGAGATAAAGGTTAATATGTTGAAAGTCTTCGTTTTTCGTATTCTAAAAAAATTAAATTATTACTTAACTTAAACACGTGCTTTAAATTAAGAGTAATGATACATATCTCACCTAATTTATTTCACCTTTCCATCTCCCTTTCCATGGTATTAGTTATTGAATGAAATTTAATAAGTTAATTAATTATTAGATAAAATATAATAAGTTAATTTAATAACTTTTTTGTTAGATTTATTTACTATTTGAATACTTATATATCTAAAATTTTAAAATAAATAAACCCTAACTCCTTAAAAAAGTAAACCCTTTAGGGTAAAATTATAATTAAACAAAATATTATAAGTAGGCCGAATATAATAAAAGATAAAATAATATTTAATTTAATTTTTTGGGATTTAAATTAACAAATACATTACCCAATCAGTAGATAGTATGTAAGGTGAGATGATAAGATGAGTTATTTAGGAGAATTACCTATCATTATTCTTAAATTATTGCTTGGTCTTGGATATGTATATGGACACTATCAAAGGTGGCGTCAGGGATGATGAATCTTATTCATGTTTTTTAATGTTTCAGACCTTTCTATATTTTCCATGTTTATTACCTTTAGCTGTCACTGTCCGAAATGTGCACAAATCGTTTTCAACAAAATTGTTATTATAATTAAGGAAGAAGTTTAATTCGTGAAGAAACATGTGACCCTTCATCATAGGTCGTAATTTGCCACCCATCAATTTGTGGCCGATAGGTTTAGAGTTTATTGGGTCAATAGTCTACTTCAGATTTTGTGTAATTTTTTGGGAATATATGTCGAATATATTATCAAAACTCCCTGTGCAGATAAACTAGTGTCACGAATGTGTCGCCCAATCACCTGTAAGGTTTATGTCACACATCGCGATTTGGTAACTTCTACTCCAAAAATCTGTCTACAAATTATTCTATCAATCATTAATCAAAAGTGATTGAATAAGAACTCATTTTAATGGGTGATTAGAGTTCAAACCATAGTGGTCTAAATCTTTGAAGTTATTACACCATCTGTTTGAAACATATTAGGCAGAAATGTATATGTATATAGATATATATATATATATATAATAAATTTGACCGTGAAATTTGACCCCTAATAATAAATTTGACAACATAAAAGAAAGGGGGAAAAATCCTCCTTGCGCTTCTCTCTCTAAAAAAAAAAATTCTCTCTCAAAAAAAAAAAAAAAAAGTTGGACATCTAAAGCTTGGCTTGGAATCAAACAATGTCGATCTTCATTTGGCCTAAAATGTCAATTCATTTTGTCTTTCGTCCAAACAAACGGACAGCAATGCCTAAGAGGCTAAGATGTGTCCTTGTAGTTTTTTTCTTGCTTTTATATTTTCACGCAGACAACAATTGCCCTTTCTTGTATTATATTAATTGATTATTGATTTTTTTTTTTGGTTTTTTTTTTGTTAACAATGAAGGAGTCATAACTTAAAAACCGAAAGTATTATATCACTCAATATAAGAAAATTTCGACAAGGTCGTACTTCACCACGTAAATAATACTAATCCTTTTTGGTAATTAGTAGACAGTCCTTATTGCTTCAAAATACATCAAACATGCAATTTCTAACTGTAACGTTCATTTGATTAATTAGCTAGATCACAGAGACAAAGTCACACAGACAATATACATATGGTCAGACCGTCATTGTCCGACGATGAAAAGCTTCATGGTGAGGAGGCAGAAACCAGTGATGGTTCGTCCGGCAAGACCGACGCCTTGGGAAACAAAACCATTGTCATTCAGAAAAGCTTACATTTTCTTTTACTCCAAGGAAGAATGACAAAGGGGAAAAAGGGATTGTTGTTCCAATTGGGTTGCCAAGATCTGTAATGCCAAGGTTTATTGATCATGAGATTATAAGAACTATAATGGGATCCAGGACATCTCCCATGCCAATATCGGATCGGCTCTGTGGTCACTGACTAAATTCGAAAAAGAATTTAATTCGTTCACAGACTATGGTCCAATTTGAATGAATAATTTAGTACACATTATATAAACTTTGAAAATTCACAAAATGGACAAATATTTTGGGAGGCTGTGATTATCAGGGGCCCCAAAAAAAAAAAAAACACAAACAAACAAACTACCCCTTGCAATAAAGTTATGTTTCATTTAGCTACTGTCTTCATTTTGCTTTGCAAATTTTGATATCTGAGATCAAAATAAAATTAGTGATATCAGGTAACCGGTGAGAATTTTACATTGAAGTCAAGGCAGATCAAAAAAGGCAATGGATAATTGATTGCCAAGACAATATATGTTCAAACTTTCACTATGAATCTCTCTTTGGATTAATCATTTCACTATATGGACAAGTTTTTAGATTTTAGTTAAATACGGAATAATGATATATAACTCACTAATCAATTTCATCACACGACCATATAGCCACGTTATATTATTCGTGGGTGATTTTGATTACCCACGACCGCTAAGTACAAATAATTCACGATCTAATCTGAGAGTGTTCGACCAATTTCTTGTAATGGAGTTCTGTTATTTGTGGTTATTATACAGTAAAATATAATGATAATAGTTAAACGTTGTAAACAAATGACTAAAATATCATGTCAAATTAAGATGAAATTGTTGAGTACAATGATAATCGTTAAACGTTCTACTCCATCTACTTACTGTTCGTACCATATCCATATTCATTTAATTTTTTCTTTGTTGAGTCCAATGATAATCGTTAAACGTTCTACTCCATCTACTTACCCTGGTTCACTAAACACGTGCATAAAAGTTTAGTTAGCAAAAGAATATAGTTGATGACAACTGGCTGCTTAGTTAGTAAGCTAATTACGTACCTCTCTCGTATATATATATATATATAGTAGTGATGTCTGTCGCGCAATGCACGACCCTGGCGCAGTATATCTCTAGATATTAGAATTATTTTTATTTGAAAAAAAATATTTTGTATTTGACTCGATATATTTTAGAAATGTTCGAAGAATTTAGAAATATTTTATAAGTCTGATCATAAAAATGTTTGTGTTTAGCAAAAAAAAAAAAAATTATATTTGGCCCGTTACGTTTTAAAAATGTTTGAAGATCTTAGAAATGATTTATAAGTGTTACCTAAATCCTAAACCCTAAACCCTAATATATGTCTTGAAGTAAATGTTAGACAAAATATAAAAGCATCTTAATAAATTTAAATATTAGCAAGATGATTTATTGATGTTCTCCATTGGTCGTGCTAAATGAATACTTAGTAAAGGAGATTTATAATGACTTTGTAGTAAGCTTCCTCCGAAGGGTATACGTTTAATTGTTGGAACTGTTTCTTCAAAGGTTTAAAGGTAGTAAAATATCAAAAATATGGTTTTGAAACTGGTTAATTGTTTAAACAGGTTGATCACAAATATGAGAATGAAAATTAATGTAAATTTGCATAGGTTTCAAGTTATAGCAAAAAAGAATTCACCTCACCATGGCAAATAAAATAATAAAAAAAAGTAAAAGAGTCCATTAAAAATTGAGAAATTATTTTTTTCCTGTAGGTAAAAATAATATATAAAAACACAAATAAACTCAGAAACATCATTCATTCCTTCCCCACCTCAAATTCATAAAAGACTTCCCCATGAATTAGTTAGAAGAAGCAACATGAACTATTTATATGATGAGGAACTCAAAAAAGTCCAAAAACCAAATCCAAAAAAGTATATCCTTGAAAGTCCGAACACAAAAAAAAAAAACGCACTTCATTTGTCCAAAAAAATAATAATAATAATTGGTCAACTGGAAGTACGAAACAAAAGCAAAAGAAATTAAACAAAGAAAAAACACACTTCAAAACTGACCATATACGAAAAAAAAACTGAGACTCCATAATTAAAAAAAAAATTATTCTAATGGAATGAAACATAAAAAAGAAATTAAAAAAACCACACTTTGTAACAAAAACCCAATTGATCAATTCAATCCAAACAAAACTAAAATCATACAAAAATTCTAGGCTAACTAACCATATAAGAAATCACATCATATTACCTGGCAACGGCTACAGTAGCTGTAACGGGTGGTCGCATAAAAATAATAGTAATAACACTATTCTTGAACGGGAAAAGTAAAATATAAAAAAAGCCAAACAAATGATCTGTGGAAATAAAATCATTTAAATTTTAATATCTGTAATGGCATCACCACAACGGCCGAAGCAAGATCAATGAGAATTTTTTTTTTCCTTTGTGTTTATATAGAGAGGTAAAGAGAATATTTCTTGAAGTCAAAATTTTATTCCATTAGGATGTAGTTGATTATCACTAATAAAAAGATTGAACATGCTAATAGAAAAGGAGTATACTTCACCACATATTCTCAGTTAATGATTGATGAGGAATTTTTTTTTTTTTTTATTATGGAGAAGAGATTCATTAGGGAGTCGATTGTCGTGGAGATGGGGATGAGGATTTGGGGTTTATGAATCCGAGGTTTTTTTTTTGGCGAAAACAGGAGGTGGAGGTGAATTTGGACTGTATTTGTCTTTTAAGTCTAGAAAACTAATGTGTAAATAAAAATTTATTTTAAAAATATGATGTGGAAATGCCACATGGCAAATGGTGAAGCTTTCTCATAAGTGTGGTTTTTGTTTCTAATATAGTAAGATATATTCCTTCCGTCTTTTAAAAATAATAATTTATGTTATAGTTTGTGGGTGGGACAGAGAAAATTAATTTTGTTTGGGCAAAAATTGTACGAATAATATCCTTTTATGATCAAACACTTATAAACATGTAACTAAATCGTAATTTATCTTTTTTTATCAATGATCACAGAACAAAGATAGTTTGAAGTAGCGTCTAATATATTATCAACAAAAGTCGGCACCACATATATATATATTTATCTTTATATATTAAAAAAGGAGAGTTTTCAATTGGACACGTGGCACAAAATTAGATAGTCTAATTCACGTGGTGTAAAATTAAATAGCCGAGTCCACATGTCGTAACCACATCACTTCGTTAAAATGCTTTAAATTTACCTATTTTTAATATCCTTTTATACGAGATTTTGCTACTATTTTGAATACATTTCTGCTATTTATGTGATTTTATCTTTAATTGTAAGAATTGTACTCAATTAGAGGAATTGTTGAAATTTTAGGCTAAAATGAAGATAAAAGCAACTCAAAGGGAGAATTGAAGATTTGATAAATTGATAAGGAAAAAATTGAAGTACTTGAAAAATTAGAGGATTAAACAAGCAATTTTGGAATTTTTGGTTTTTGGAAATTGGCCGAACAACGATGACGGTGCGGTTGATTTGGGATTGGAATTGGGTAAGAATTTTAATCCCAATATTATTTGGGAAACAAGTTTTCTTTCTCTCCAAGAAATAAGGTTTTGACGGAAGCCTATAAAAAGAAGATTAAGGATTTGTTTTTAGAAAGGAACTTGACCGAAAAATCACGGAAACCCTACGAACCGCCGCTGCAACTCACGGCTGCTCCACCTTGCTTCCTTGATCAACCCCGCTAACCACCACCTTGCTTCCATCCATCAGCCTTGAACTTTGGCAGCCCCCGGCCTCCAACTCTTCATCACCGCCGCACCAAAGCACCCCATCTCCACAACACCAGCCGCAGCCACACATCACCACTCTTTTCTCCACGCAGCACCATCACCATCACTTTCATCATCATCATCAACGCCCAAACTTTCCACCTAACACCTCCACGCACCATCATCCAACTCACCTCATCACCCCATTAATATCACCTCCCAATTTCACCAACCCTTTCGCACGCCACAAAACCCCAGCCCATCACTACCTCAAGCACCAATCCAAAGCATCATCATCGGAGGAGGACGCAAGCAATTTCGGACTCCCGGGTTTCATTGTTTTATTTACTTTTGAAATGATGTATAGCTAAATTCTTTTAACCTAGGACTTGGATGTAGTCGCCGGATTTATTTGGTTTATTTGATTCATGATACTTTTATTTTTTTTTATTGATAATTATTTAATATTCTTGTTTTTATTCCATGTTTGTAACTGGCCACTACTTGCATGTTTAAAGATATTAATTGATAGAACGACAGTTGAAAATTAATATTAGTTCATGAGAATATTGGGCTTAGGTAGTGAATCACGACAGTAGGAACACAACCTTTGCAACGTTAGATTCCTAAGTTCTTAATGTGCTCTAGTTATTTTCTATAGTCACGACAGTAGTCATAGGATTAATTAGAGTAAGAGAATTATATCACGACGGTGAATAGTTCTTAATTAGGTGAATCGTTGTGAGATTAATGGAAGTTAAAAGTCAGATATTTATGAATTAAATCAAACCAAATATTCGGTAGGTGAACCTAATGTCCTAGGTTTTCTTTGTCTGATTATTTGAATTAATATTATTTGCTTTTATTTTATTTATTTATTTTAGTTTTAAATTTTATAAATCTGAGATCATCATTTATCTAGATAATAATAGAGTAATTTATATTTGGTAATTAGTATTCCTTCTCTGTGGGATCGACCCTGCTTGCTACTTTACCACTAGTAATTGTATTAAGTAGGTAATTATTATTTGACTAGTGTGACGACGGCCTGTCAAATTTGGCGCCGTTGCCGGGGACTGGCAGCTAATATCGAATTTAGATTACTTTCTTTTATTAGTTTAGATTTATTTTTATTTTATTTTCTTGCTATTTTAGTTATTTCTTTCAAATATTTTTGTCTTGGTTTTATATGCGAAGTGCTAATCCTGAGACTTTGCAATTTGATCCAGAGATCAAGAGAACAGCTCGTGCAAATAAAAAAGAAGCAAGGCTAAGAAAGGAGAAGAATCAAAGTGAAACCATGGGTGATAG